CCATCCAACATAAGTGACGTGGAAATGAAATCGCTTACTCTAATGATAATTATCAAAATTTGATCAACTTATCTCAATAAGGATCGTCTACTTGAATCCCTGGTTATGAAGACAGATAACGTATTTTGCATGTAACCATACCTTCTTTTGTGCAATATCTTTAGCAATCTCCCGAGCCCTCCATTCATCAGCTTCTTTATCTATTTTATCAAACTGCTCACGCTCCTACACAATGCAAACAAACATCAAGTCAAATTCAACTTTACATGGAAAATAATCTAATAAGCAAAGGACCAGAATAAAGATTAAAGTTTTTCTACTCTGGCTAAATTCTCAGCTACTCTCCTTCTCTTCCTTTTTCGCCAAAGTTTATTTCTTTTATACTTCTCCATTTTATCCGCTAATCTTTTCACAGCAGATTTTTCCTCCCAGGGCGTATTCCCATCTGTAACAACCCTGAAGGGCTCCAACTGAAATCTCAGTTTCGACATTATGGCATTCGCAGAGTTCAGCGACATTGACTCTTGGAATTTCAAGTCAAGTTTATTGTCCTTCATAAACTCAAGAAACCTATCCATGGACATATCACCATGCCTTTTAGCTTCACCTGTTGTAGTTACTTCCATTTCTTTCATCTGAATGAACATCTCCAACTCTTTTTGCCTGCCCATTTTAAATTCGATCAAAGTCATATTTTGATCAAATGTCACTCTTTCGGTTTTTCAGTTAAAAAACATATGAAACAACTGCAGGAATCTACATTTAGTTGAGAGACTGCATTCCATTTGATGAGCATTCAATTTCACCTCCAGAACATATACTGCACAGATATCTCCTGTACTTTGCTCGAGTAATTTTCAACAAGTGACATGATGTTTCGCTACATATGTTTGAAAAACGAAACATGTTGCTAAAATACTAAGCTCATCACTCTAATTTTTTTTTTCAAAATTAACAGCATATGCACAAAATAATAGAATCAACACATCAAGTTACATTGAGCTCCACTCATGCCATGACCAATTGAAGTTCACCGATAACAAGTTTTCCAAACATCCAACTAAAATTAAATCTCCAAACAACTTGTTCATTACATCCACTGCCTTCATTCACATTCCTAAACATATACAAGTTACAACTCCCTTTTCGTGGCCAAAAAAATGCGGACAAANTAAAAAAAAAAAAAAAAAATCATAGCTACGGGGCTGAAATTACAGCTTCTAATCATATGTAGAATTAAAGTTCAGATATCTCCTCACATTGCTTTGGCTAGGTTTAAAGTATCTTGAAGTTCTTCAAGGCGGCTGCTAACGTTTCCGGCGGTCCAGAAAGAAGCAGTTGGTGGTGGCACTGGCGGCAGAGGCGGCGGCGGCGGCGGAGGCGGAGGCGGAGCCGGCCAGGGCGTGTGGGCGGAATTAAACGGAACCATACCCGTTTGATTTATCATTGGGTAGTTCTGGTCTTCGATAGAGGGCGTGGGTTCAAATCCCACTTCTAACAATAGTTCCATGTAGCATAGCCCGGACCGATTATTGACTCGGGCGTGTCACTTGTCCAATCGTCGGGTCGTTGGGTCAATTGTTGAATCGGATAATTAATTTTATAAAAAATTAAAGTACTTTTATCTTATAACAATACATAAAATAATAAAAATAAATTATTTATATGTAAATTTTATTCTCCAAAGTCTTAATAATATTGTATTTTATCATAAATTCTATCACATAACTATATATACATAATTTTATTTTTTAAAATAAAAAGATAAAAATAAATTAATATATATATGGGTCAATCAGGTCGATCGAGTTTTGACTGGGTCCCTACTCCCTTGCTACCTGGTCCAAGCAACCCACTTGGACCAGTCCCGATTTCGGGTCGACCTGCCGGCCAATCTGAGTCTCAAGACAATGCCATGTAATTTTATTATTACTTTTTATTTGCATTCTAAAATAACAAAAATGGGTAAATATAATTTTTTTTTGGAAAATGTGTCTATAAAATAAAGATGAAGAATTGGAACAATTGTAGTTTAAAAAAATTAGGTAATTTTAAGTGTGATATAAACAATATGATGAATAAACAATCTTCTGATAAATTGTGAATCAACCATAAATTGACCAAATTATTTACGAACACAATTCGGTTATGCTAGTGAATTATATTCAAACTATTGTTTATTCATTATTATTCACAAAATTGTTTTTTTTTTAAAAAAAAATACATTATCAATATTCAAATTTTAGAATATAAAAGGTGAAATTACAGAAAATTCTAATAAGAATGCAACCAACCAAGTGGTACCTTATGAATCTATTCACAAACCACAACCATCTACAAATATTGTATTGATACATACCCAATGATAACTACACTCGGCACATGTAAACAAACCATTGTCTTAACAAAAGGGTTTCTCCAATGATGTTCTCGAGCTTTCTTTGATTGTCCAAGGTGAGATAGTTTCAAGATACATCTATTTATGCTTCTGTACATTATAGTACTATCCACACAAATGATTCTTTTAACACATTGAGAACCCATATACAATAACTCACTCGACATGCTGCTATACAGATCAAGAAGACTACACAAACTATACCGCACGGTACAGCTTACTATAACGACTGTACGCATTCGACAAATTTCAAAACTCAGAGAAAGGCATATAAATCTCCAAGAACCACCTTACGAGAACCCAAAAAACCAAAACTTTGAAAACGTGTCAGCAGAATGCACTTCATTGTGATTCCCCCTCAGACCTCATAAATCTCGTCAAAAAAAGAAGCCAAATGACATTTAACAGCAGATAAATTCACCAAAGGCGACCTATTTGTTGATGAAGAGGTTGATAACTCGAAGTAAGTGGGCTTTGGTGTAGATGGGCACCCTACTGACTGGATCAACTGGTCCACAGACAGCACCTGGAACTTGTGGGGCCCGTTAAGAGCAATATTGTGGACCTTGTGTTCGTATATTTTTCCTTCCCTGTCTAGCTTGTACTCTGAGGTGCCATCAAATCTGCTACGAACCTCCCAAGGGATTCGTGGGATGCCGTGCACAGTCCAACGGACCATTATCATGTTCTCCGTGGGCTGCCACACACTCACGATATCAACCCACAGAGCCCGGAAGAATATCCTCCCGTAAAATCTTAGTGCCCAGAAGATTGATTTGTAGTTCTCTATGCCGGAAAATGTGTTGAGTGGATCTTTGAAGACTATATCTTCCCTATTCAAGAGAATACAAATGTTGAAGAGTATGTTTTTATGTTAGTGGCAAGTACTCATTCTTCATAGGCGACAAGAGAAAGATTACAGAACATCAGCTTGATAGCATGCATTAAATTCCTCTCGAGATATTCTGCACCCCACAACCGTTGAACTTATATACTCGATAACTAGCAATGCCCTAAAATCTTACCATCCAAAAAGAGTAAGAGGATGCTTGGATACAAGATATCCAAAAAAAAAGTCCAATCATTTTTAACCAATTGGTTTTTTAACTCAAATCTAACTCAACTTTAATTCAACCCCACTATCCTTAATATTTTCAGTACAATTAAATAATATCAATCAATCAATCTTACACATTACATCAAATTTAATTCACTATTCACCCATTCACATAATTTTAACTCATCATCACTTCACATTATCTCTTTCCTACTTTTACATCAAATCAACTTTAATTATTTTAATATAAACTCAAAATCCCACTAACAACTAACCATACCACATTTTTCAAAACCAAACAAAACAAAATAATATTATATCCAAGCATCCCCTAAACGTTTGAACTGCAATGAAAGGGTGTATTAACGAACTTTGAGCTTATATGTCGCACATGTTAAGAAAGTACATTCACCCTTTTATTTCAACAGATAAGATTATCATTATTAGCACTGCACGAAATTATATTGTTTCTATGTTCATATAAGAAATGAAGGGCATGATGGATTTAGAAGCCCTTTACAAAATTCTAGTCACCACAAGCTGATCAGTTAAAACACCTGAAACTGACTTTAAACATTGTCCACACGGATGCCTCTAAACATAATTTATATGCACCAAGTTTTCTCTTCGTTATTCCCTCGTTCAAACTAAAGATCAAGATCATAAATCACAAGTTGTATTAGCACTAAAATTTGGAGCAAGATACACCCCATAGCGCTGTGATTCACGATGTATCATACTAAATATAGTACATTTTCTCAACTCCTGCAAGTAAAGCTGCACCCAACTTTACACCTAGCCACAAACAATCTAATTCAACCACTTTAGGAAATAGAAAAGTAAGCACTTTCATCAACTTCTTTTGTTTGTGTATATGCTAATCAGTATGAACGATATAGAGCATTTTGTCCATATCAAAAGCACATTCATCAAACTACCATTTCTCAATTAGTTCAATTTTAGCTTCCATTGCAACACTACAATTAATCACCAGCTTCTTTACTCATCAGTTTTTTCCGCACACCCAGAGATGCATACTATTATAAACTCAAACAGACATATAATCAGCAAATAACTATAAAGAAACCAAAATTCTCACCTGTAGATATCAAAGCTGAGTTCCTCGTAGAAAAGCTTCGGAAACTCCTCTCGGAGGGTCCGAATCGCATAACCCGTATTCACATAGTAATCATTCTTCTTCTCTTCATCGTCCTTACTACTAACGGCTGAAAACGGCGCAGCATCTGCCTCGGTCTGCTTCACCCTCTCGTACAACCATCTCACAGTATCCTCGTAGCCATAATCAACCCTCGATTTCATTACCTCCTTCTCGACATCCTTAACGCCCGCGTAGACAGTAAAACTGAAATTCGTCCTTCTGGAGCGGAGATAAATTCTTCTCGGCCTTCCGACGACGCCGAATGATGAAATTCCCGGCGCCGGAACTAAAAGCGCCATCGGTTGATGTTCGGTGGAAAAAGACGGATTTGAGAGTAACGAGCTAAATCCTTCGGACGGTTCGACCGGGCATCTCGTTTGATTTTCCTGCGAAGCGAATTTTGGGGAGTGAATTTTTTGCTTGGTTGCAGGGAAAAAGTGCGGAAATCATTGCCGATGAATGAGGAAGAGGGGGATTTTGGATAAGGATAATATAGGATTATGATTTATGAGAGGTTATTGATTGATATTTTTTAAATGCATAATAATGTTGATGAAAAGANACAAACTAAAAATAGAAGTCTAAACCTAGATTTACAAGTGCTCAAATGTACAATCTGAAAATGGACTGAAACGTAACAAACAAGAATAGACTAGTGCAATCAGAAAGAGGGATAGACTAATTGGTCCATTCACACTAATGTAAATAGGCAAAGTGGGGCGTCGTCAAAGTGGAGTGTGCGCCTCTCTAGAATGGTGGCTCCGAGACTGGCCAGGAAATCAGCAAGTTGGTTCCCCTTGCGAAAGATGTAGAAGATCTGATGACGAACCGACTGAAGTGTGACTCTGATGCGCATGAGCGAATGCTAAATCTGCACAAGTCATGTTGGTCGGAGGTCAAGAGGGTAGCGACAGCGGCAACATCCAACTCAATTCAAATGTGAGTATAGATAGAGACTACAATCTAGAGACCGATTTGGAGCGTATAAACCTCTGCGTCGTAGCTCGAAGAGACGTGAAAGGGAAAGGCGGCACGAAAAGATCCGTTGTGGTCCCTAAAACAGGCCGACCCAAAACCACTGAGCCGGTTCTTGGTTAGTGTTTTCAGTTCTGGTGACCCGTCGGGTCGGGCCAAGACTCGGCCCGCCAAATGGCCATTCTAACCCCGAACACAAGTAAATAGAATAAACACGATAATATATTTAGTCAAAACAATTTATCTTCACCCATAATATATTTAAAATTATGGTGTTTGATTTTGAAATTATATTCTTATTATAATAAAATTGTGGTATTTGTTTATACATTGTGTATATTTGCCCCTAAGTAAAGTACATCTGCCCTTGGTTGTTGCTACACGACCCTACACACGATATATTCCTCGAGTCCAAGGACGAAATGAGAATCACATATCTATATCCCCTAAATGTGAAACCCAGTCTAAAGCTCAAACGGTTAATCAGATGTGATGAAGTAATATTAGACCTTTTCATATAAGGTAGTACTTAAAAAAATGATTACATCTTATTAGATTATCAGGAACAATCGTACTATTTTTTGATGAAATATTATTTTCGTATAAAACAAGGGCCCAATATCCCTTTTTCCTCATCGAGTCTTCATCAACTAAGATTTTCACTTCCGATCTATGGTCCGCCTCCATTAATCTCTAGTTCGAGTATAGTTGGACCATTCGAGAACTTTAACTCAAGTTAAACCACACCAATAGGCAAATCTATAAGCAACACCTTTCATATTTTTCTCAGTTCACTATACAAAGCAATCGTCGATTTAACAATGTGGTACCTTATCGCCATATATGTTACATCAATTCTATATATTCATATAATTTGGCACATGAATTCAATGAAAAGATAGAAAACAATATAATTTATTATATTTTTGTTGTCAATGTACAACAACCAATATATTTAGTTAAAATTTTAAGATAAATAAAATTATACATGGAAATATGCTTATGTTGAAACATGAAAAAAAAAAAACTGGAAATTAAATTTAAATTGAGTAAAAAAGTTGATAGTAATTATTAGTTTCAAGGGGGTGATAAATAGAAAAAGTTGATAGTACTATCCTAAAATAAAGACAAACCAATGATAGATTCATATAATTTAGTGCCCACTTCTCAATAACACGGCCCAATTGGTCCTTTACCTTTCCTTTTCAACAAAATTAAAAATATTCCAAGTCCCATACGACGTCGCTTTTTCTTAGGTACAACTACTGTCCAAATTTACAGCGACAGCTCACAGCTGCAATTCCTTGAGTTGCTTCATACACACATACACACACACACTTCACATGAACAGCCCTTTTTCATTCTGTAAATATGCTTTTCTTAACTCCAAATCTATCTTAACCAGACTGGAAATTCCCCGTCATAATTGCTCCATAAATTCGTTCATTTCGAAGCTTTAGGTGAAATACAAGGTACCCTTCTTGTTCAAATAGAGATAAAGAAGTGTTTTTATGATCGGAATTTCTGTGTGAAATTTGTGTGTGTGTCTGAGATTTGTTGTTCTATGGAGGCAGGGAAGCAAAAGGCGACGTTTGAAGAGATGTCGGTGGAGAAAAGTAAGAGCTTTGTCACGGCACTGCAGGTAATTTTGCTTGTATAGTTTTTCTTTTTTCTTTTTGTAATTTAAATTTTTGAGGTGAAGTTTGGGTTGTGAGCTTATGGATCAGATCTTAGTAGGACTGAAAGCTGTGTTAGATTGCATAAAGTTTCATAGATCGCTTGAGTTACATTGGCTATGTGTGTTTGTACTTTCTTTAAAATTCACAAATTCTGCCTCATCATTAGGTGGTTTGACCTGTCATATTTTTTCTAACATAAATGCGTACTTATGTTATGAAATGTTACACTTTTGTTTATGTTTGTAGTCTTACTGTTCTAAAATTTATGCGATTTCATTTGGCAGTCTTTGTTAGCTGATCTTATCTTCTTTTGGCAGTCTTTGTTAGCTGATCTTATCTTCTTACAGGAACTGAAGAACCTCAGGCCTCAACTGTATTCAGCTGCAGAGTACTGTGAGAAATCATATCTGAACAGTGAGCAGAAGCAAATGTGAGATTTTGGTCCAATTTGTCTTATTATTTTGGCTTTAATATGTTTTTAAAGGAATCATTTGATCTACAATCTATTCATTGAGCTTTAGTATTTGAGAATGTTTGTTCAGTCTCTTGTTATTTTTTTCATCCGACGAGAATGAAAACGTTATGAATCACACTATTTATCTTTTGCTTGTCCTTCATGCTAATTCGGCGACTCAAATTGTATATTTAACCTACAAATTTTATAATTTCTGCACTAGGTTCCTGGACAATTTGAAGGATTATGCTGTACGTGCGCTGGTCAATGCAATTGACCACCTTGGTACGGTTTCTTACAAGTTGAGCGATGTTATCGAGCAGCAAACACTGGAGATCTCATCCATTGATCTGAAAGTCACCTGTCTAAATCAGGTAAGTTGTTAACTTGTTCACTAAGTGTAGATTTAGAGAGAAATAAAAACATGGCTGAGGGATAAACGTGCAATTTGTTCACTAGAAACTTCTTACCTGTCAAACGTATACGGAGAAAGAAGGTCTCAGGCAGCAGCAGTTGTTAGCAATCATTCCGAAACATCACAAACATTATACTTTGCCTAGTAAGGTTAAAGCTAATTTAGTTCTTGTTTTTGCCTTGACAAATTTTGAAACCATATTTAAGTCTCTAGTTTTACATTTCATTGATTTCCATGCTAGATTCTTTCAACAAGAAGGTGCATTTCAATCCACATATACAGACGGGTCCTAAGAAAACCGCTCAAGTGAGAGGTCGATTTTATCCTTCAGTTTTCGCTCGTCCATTGAGTGCTTATTCAGTATTCATCATATCGAGCAGTAAAACAATATTGTAGACTTTATGCTCATATCTGATTTATTTTTTGTCGGTTTAGGTGCTTCTGCTGCAAAAACTCTTTCTTGGCATATGGCTTCAGAAAGCAAGTCGACATTGAAAGGCTCCTCAAGAGGTATTATGAGGTTAGTCCTGGAAATTGGTTTAAATATCATGTTTTTTTTCCCTTTCTATTCATCAAATAGTTTTCAGGGCAAATAAAAGAAAAAATATTTTGCTTGCTTTTACAGTGCTGAGGACTCAAAAATTGACAGACAAACATCCAGTGTATTTAACTCCTTAGGTATGCAAAGACCGATTTTTGTACTATTTTTATGGTGAATAATGTGCACCTTGCTGACAGACAATAACATCTTTGTAAAACTCATTTGGTTTTTGTCGAGTAGACGCTCAAGAGAACAAAAAGTTCAAATCTGCCCCTGCAGCAAGAGTCGCCATGCAGACCCTCGGTGTTACACGAAGAGTAAATTCGAAATCCCCTTCTAATGATGGTTTATTTTACTTACATTTTAAGTTTGCTCGCCAAAAAAAGTATTATGAACCTTTCTTTGTCTTCTTACACTTTTGCAATCGCTTCTATAATTATAAAAAGTAACCGTAAAGCTTTGTCTTATTTTCAAAATATCCCCACTATACTAAATACTCGATCCATATTGTTTCTATTATACAAATTGCACCTTAGATAGAGGAACTTGTTAGGTAACTATAAATCTTAATGGGGTGTTCTGTAGTTCCTTAAGGCGATTTCCGTGGGACTGAAGAAAATTTAATAAATCTTAAAATTATCCATCTCTAAGCTGTGTTGGGTTGTGACCTTTCAGCCCTCAATTCATTTTAACATCATTTAATTTTTTTAACACCTTTCATCTGTCTGAACTATGTCAATTTTCATAATATCTCATATACTTTGATAGCTTGTGCCGCCATTTCTTAATAATTTTAACCAAACGTCACTTGTGAGCTTATTTAGTCGAACATTATCCAAGAAATTCATGGCTTTTGCATTGCTATATTACATGATCGCAAAATTTTGTATGAGACGGCCTAACTGTTAGGCGGGTTGAACCGTCATACTTTTTTTTTTACGACAATGCATATTTATACTATGAAATGTCATAAAATGTCATACTTTTGTTTATGTTGGTTTTTAGAGTGTGACGTTTCAACTTGTGAAAATATGCATATCTATTAAAATATTATGACTAACTACCTAACCATTAAGTCTGATTAAAAACTTGATCGATATTCGGTAACTTGACTAACTGGCTTTCTATCTGCCACAAAAAAATAAAAAAAATAAAAATATGAATTCATCTTCGGCAGTTACCTTTTGTGATCATAGGTAAACTTCTTTTGCAGGATCCTACAGAGGGCTCGAAACCTGTTATTCCTTATAAATCATTTTGCACTACAACCGAAAAAGAAGTTGTTCGGCCACCCGTTCGTAGCAAGAGCATGATTTCTGCTTTCTTCGTCAAGCAAAAGGGAACGGGTTTGAGAACAAATGCATGAATTATTGGGAATTAGAGGGAGTGTATGCAAACTCTTCACAAAAATAAGTGATACTCAGTTCCTAACTGGAAAAAAAATGTTTATTTAACCACTCAACAAAAAAAAAAAAACATTTTTCTTTCTGAGTTTGCATACACTCCCTGAGCAAAGCAAAAGTTCTGATTAATCATGCATTTGACCTATGAGAATAGTATGTTTGTTCTGTTTTTGCACTTGTGATTAACTGATTATGGAGATTTATAGGAAAATTTGTAGTTACCCACCACACGATTTTTTTTATCGTTGGATTAGCAGATACCCGTATTGGTGAAATTTATTGTAAGTGTGGATTGGTAAACTTGGAAAGAGAGAGAAATACACAATGGATTTGTGATGTGAGATATATCACTCTTCTTTATAAACTGGCAAAAATTCAATGGAAACCTCAATATACTGTTTGACTGTTTCCATGATCTCTGTTTTGTAGAAGTAAATAAGATGCAACTGCATTAAATGTGCTAATTACCCTTTTCGTAAGGGACTTTGGGTTACACTAAAGTCTTTGTTTTTAAATAAGAAAGATACTAGTACGTACAATACCCGTGTATTACACGGGTGTTGAATTATAAAGCTTTTGTAAAAAATGTTAAATTTTTTATTTTTTAAAAACTAAAATAATTTTATTTTATATAAAACATTACTTTGGGTTTTAATTAAATTTTTAAATTATATTTTTTTAATTATAATAATTAAACACCCGTACATTAAATGAAAATTTCAACCCGTGTTGAATTTTTTACTTATATCATATAAAAATATTGATATTATTTATTATTACATAAGTACAATATATATCTTAAATAAATAGAAATAATATAGTGATATGTATATGTATAAGTGTAGAATATGTTTATTTAATATTACGCAAGATTAATTTTTTTACTTAATTAGATGTCTAATATATCAAGTGTTGTATCAGTCGTGCTTCACAATTTTTTAACTTTATATGTAATTTTAGAATTTATATAAATAAATAGGAGGGAGTATATCTTATACTCCCTCCTATTCATAATAAATATCCTTTTGGGAAGTTGCACACTAATTAAGAATAATTTTTTTGTCAATAATAACCTTCATTAGATGGATGTTTTAAAAAAAAAATGAAGAGAATATGAAAAGACGTAGTGTATTTATTAACTAAATGAGGGTAATAATGGAAAAATATGTACAAAAGATCCAAAATGACATTTATTTTGGTTAATAGTTGATAAAGCCAAAATGACATTTAAAAAAAATAAGAGGTAGTATATTTTAGTATGACACATGTTACTTGTGCGATTTTTATGTGTTATATTATAATAAATTTTCTACCTTATAACATATAACTACATTAAACATAATTATATTAATTGATAAATAATTTTATTTTCTAATTAAATGTAAAAAATAATTTTATTATTATTATTATAAAAATAAATATAATTTATTTATTTTATATATACAATATGGATGCGAAATCGAAGCTCATCAAAAGATGATTAATTTGATATATTATATATGTAAAACCAATAAGATATACAAAAGTTATCAACTTTAAAAATATATTTGCAATTCATTGGTTATAATAAGAAAGATATTAAAATACAATTAATACAAATATTAATTTATATCCAAGTCTAACTCCAAAACATGATTTTTTGCCAAATAGGATTACGAAGCATGAGAGTTTGCCACGTAGGTTTAGCGCATTCTGAAATTATTTATAGAGGGGATGATGAGAAACAAGCTTTATTTTGGAGTTGATCAATCAAATCGGTAAGAGGATGCTTGGACACAAATCTACTCAAAAAAATCCAAATATTTTTAACTTAACCATTTTTTTAACTCAACTTTAACTAACTCCACTATCATCAATATTATCAATATAATTAAATAATATCAACCAATCATTCTTACACATCACATCAATTTTAATTCACTATTCATTCATTCACATAATTTTAACTAACCATCACTTCAAATCATCTCTCTTCTACTTTTACATCAAATCAACTTTTATTTTCTTTAAATATTATTTTAATATATACATTAACAATTAATCATATCACATTTTTCAAAATTAACCAAACCAAACAAAAAAATCCAATCAAATAAAAAAAATAATATATCCAAGCATCCCTAAGTTATCTTGTTTAGCAGAGTTTTTTTTAGCTAATGCTCTTGTAGAAACTCACAACAGCAACATTTTGGGTAAAGATTATTAAAAAAAAAGAAAAGAAAAGCAACACTATATAGCTAGAATTTTTTGTTATTTACTATTGACAAACTCCTAAATCTTTTATAATTAAATCCATACAATCATTTATCCACTATCCACTAATAAATCTACAATAAACATCCGACTTTTTAAGGTTCTCAAAGGTGATAAATCAGTTTACAAAACTTTGATAACAATTTAAAATAAAATAAAAAATTAATAAGAATACAAAATGGGGCATTTCAATTCAATTTACAAATATCTAG